ACCTAGGAACCCTATCGGCTTGTGCTTTAGCTCTCTGCCTGCAAAGAGGAGGACCGCCACGTCCAAGAGGAGGAGTGCTACCGGCGCTCTGCTATCCCCGTAGACGGGATGGACAAGCAACATCAGCAGCTCTAGCTTGTCGCTCCTCGCTCCCTTGATGAGGTCGAGTGCCAAGGTGGAGATTTAGTGTCGTTGGGTCGCTGGCGAGCAGTTCGACTCCTACGACAAGGTCAACGATGCGCTCCTCTCCTCCGACCAGTACAAGGACTAGACAGCGACAAAACACCATTAGTAGCTAATAATTTTGAGTAGCTACATTATTTCTTTATTATCTATGCAAATGTCGTTTATTGACATCTTTATATATGTCAATCCGGCGACTTTCGTTGCCTATTTTAGGAACTAGCTGTTTCAAAGTATGTTTGATATTTGATTTACTTTTATTCGTTGTTTAATTGGTTAAAATTGGCATCATTCATTTCAAATAAATGTAAACTAATAATAAAATAAAGATTATGAAGGTTGCGGTTTAAGGATATTGTGTTTGCGCAGACCCAACAACCTCTACAAAATTACAAAGTACGTCCGGCGTGCATGTGCCAGTTTTGTAGGCAGTAGGCCTATCTACAACCGAGATTGCCAAATCTCTCAGTCCGCTGAGACTTACCGAAGTCATAGTAAATATTAAATCCGTGAGATCTTATGTGAAGATTCATGCAAATTTTCCTTTTAATTTTTTTCTTTTTATTGAAAACTAGCACACAAATGCACTTGTGGTCAACTAAAAAACTGCAGCTAAAAAATAATAATCTCATCACCACATCATGCACTAACTCAAGGATCATTCCTTAGCATGCAAGAAAACATATGCAACAACATATATGAAGATAAAACTAGTTACTCAACGGACAAGACGCTCCTCTTTTGAGTGTCTTGTGGTAGGAGTAATTTTCTATACAACACATCAACAAAAAGACACCAGATTTTTATGTAGAAACCCCCCTAACTGGAGGGGGAAACCACGAGTAGAAGCCACCCAAATTCTATTTCATTATTATTGTTCTCACAAATGTGAAATTCCGGAACTCTATGTGTAATTGTTGCAACAACGATAGGGACTCTGCAGAGGGCTCCCCGGTAGGTTCTAGTCTCTCTTTATACTGCGACTGGAGCAAGGCGTAATGGGCACCTTTTTGCTTTTCCAGCGATATGTACATATCTAAGTAATTGTCGTTCTGTCAGACCATAATGAAAACGCAATTTATGTTTTTCTTGAAGACGAATACAATATTGCTCCTTTTTCCCAGAAGCACAGTCAAAATACGTTTTTTTTGATGGAATATTTGGCGTCAGCCTATAGGTTTTCTGGTTTTTAAAATTTCTTGGCAGAATGTGAGAAAGATTACCCTTTGGTCAGCGTTTACCGTAGGCACGATAACTAGTACACCAGAGGTGGGTCCTTCCCAATCCTCTCGTACTAGGGAAAGGTCCTCTCAATGCTCTAACGCCCACACCGGATATGGACCGAACTGCCTCATGACGTTCTGAACCCGTCTGTTCCTAAAACAAAACCCCTTAGCGCCACGGGACGGGAGTGGGGGACGGCCCTATGCAGACAGCAGCAGCACCGGCTCTACGAAGTCCGAATCAAATCTTTCGGTTGTCTTTCCCGTGAATAAGAATTGTTGGGCGCGGCGGAGTGAGCGCTTCTAGTTGTTCGTGGGATACAACAAGTTCGTCTCTAGATAGCACTAGAGGATCTCATACATCAAGATTCCTAAATCTTGAAAGAGCACAACAAGATTTGGGGGCTCAAGAGTTAGGAATTGAAACCATCTCATCAAAGATGATGGAACCGGAGTTTGAAGGAGACAAGGAGCGCGGAGTTTTGGCTCCCGAGCTCATCTGCACCCACGCTTAGAAAAAAATCAAAATAAATACTAGAAAAATTAAAAAAAAATCAATTTTTTGGGGTGGTAGATAATTTGACGCGTGAGGCCCACTCCAAAATTTAACTCATTTGAGAATTTGAGCAGCTCTTGGCAAAAAAGACAAAATCAGGGTCTGTAAAAATGTTTATTGTTCACGCACTGTTTTGATCCGATTTGTCTTTTTTGCCGAGAGTTACTCAGATGTCCAAATAAGTTGAATTTTGGAGCGGACCCCACGCGTCAAATTATCTACCACCAAAAAAAATTGGATTTTTTTGAATTTTCTAGTATTTATTTGATTTTTTCTGAGCGGGAGCAGATGAGCCTGGGCACCGAAGTGGATATCCGGGAGACAAGGTAGTACATTTGGACCATCACAACTTTAAGGATGAGCTCCCTTTGCTTCTTCTTTCAATCTTCCTCTCTTTTCCTTCCTCTCTTGTTTTCTCTCTTCTTCTCCAATGTAGACTGGAGTGATTTTCGTCACTTGGCGGTGATTCCCATCCTCTCACGTGCAAAGTCTAAAATGACTCTATGTCATAACTCTAATGGGTAGTGGGTTTATGCACCTTTTTGGTCTGCCTGAAAGGCTTTAAATGGTCATGTTCTCACAACTCACATGATAAGAATATCCCAACACTTCTATATGTTTTTTCTAGGGGAACACTTTTATATGTTGTGTCACTTGATTGAGACTTGGTTCCGTCTTAGTTGAGATCTAGTCACACCCATCTGCAATTCATGCCAAAAAAAATTCCGGTATCCACGATTTTTGTTCTCCCTATAAGATGCAGCGTCTCGCGGCTCGGGGCATCGGAGACATCCAGCACACGGAATGCCGTAATTTAGCAGGTAATGCTCTGGTGTTCATCGTCACTAATTCAGCGGCACAGTGTTCGTTCCTCCTCTCGGTAAATCAGCGTCTCGCGGCTCGAAATAATAGTGGCACGGCCGCACGGTACAGCGAACACGCAACAAGAAACAACAGTAATAAATCATCTAAAAAAACTGTGAACGGTAAACAAACACGTACGATCGATCGAGCACATCAGCAAATAGCCAAATACCCATGCGCGCGCGAAGTGCGGTCCGATCACTTCGACGCCCTCTTCTTCCACAGGTCGGCGAGCAGCCGCACGGCGCCGCCGGCCGGCTTCCTCTTCACACCGGAGTCCACCTCTCCCGCGTCCCGCTGCTTGTCCTCGTCCGTCTCCTCCGTGCCAACGTGGTGACCCGCGCCGCCGAGCACCGCCGCGGCCTCCTCGGCCGCCTTGCGCCACTGCTCTCTCTGGACGCGGATGCGGCGCGCCTCGGCCTCCAGCGCCTCCCGCGCGCGCTCCGACTCCCTCAGCCGCTCGCCCAGCCGGGCCTCACACGCCGCGCTGTCCATCAGCGCGCGCTCGGCTTCCCTCGCCTTCGCGGCCGTCGTCTTCCTGTCGGCCTCGGCGGCGTCGGAGGCCGTCTTCGTCAGCTCGGAGTTCTCGGCTCTGAGAGCGGCGAACTCGGCGTCCTTTGCGACCAGCTCTGCCACCAGAGTGCCGATGTTCGCGTCCTTCGCCGTCAGCTCCAATTTCTGCGCGTCGACCTCCATGTCCTTCAGCATCAGCTTCGCCCTCAGCTCGTACACCTCCCTGTCTTTGGCCACAAGCTTGGTCCACAGCTGGCCGGCCTCCAGGTTCCCCTCATTGCCACCATCGTCGTCTCCAACGACGGCAATACTGTTGCTCGCCTCATCGCCATTATCAGCCGTCTTCTCGGCCACCTCCTCAACCCGGGACTCATTGTTCTCGCGGTCGACCATGCCACTTGTCTCCTCGCCGTCGCCGTTTACAACGTCCTCTGCGACAACTTCTGCCTCCTCCTCCTGCTGCTTCTGTTCTGGCGGCCGCACATTGGTATCCTGTGCGGCCGGCACCGAAGAGGCGGCTTCCCTCTTCTTCGCGTTCGCGGCGAACCGCTTCTTGGCCTCGGCGAACGCGCCGCGCGCGTCCTTCCTGGCCTTCTCGGCGGCCGCGAGCTGCTCCCGCATCGCTGCAAGCTGGTCGTGCGCCTTCCCCAGCTTGGCCTCCAGCTCCGCCGCCCGCGGCCCTGCACCACCGCCACCACCAGCGACCGCACCTGCGGGTTTCTTCTGCAAACCCACCACCATGCAGAGTTGCATCAAGTCAGGTGTCATGTCTCTAACTGTACGTACATGGTGTAAATGCAGTGATCAGTTCGCGCGCGAGAACGTGCTTACCTCGTGCAGTGGGCTGCGGGGCGCCGCCCCTCGGCCGACGCCGACACCACGGGGACGCACGCCGCCACTCGCCACGGCGCCCACGGCCACAGTCGCCGTCCTCGGGCGCGTGGGCACGCGAGTCGCGGCCCGGTGCGGCAGCTCAGACATGGCCCTGAAGTGAAGTTCGATCAGTGAGGGCACAAACTTGAAGCAGTTAAACATGACATTACTACGAGACACATTCAGATCAGGTTAGCAGTGCTCGATCAATACCTGGGTCGTGACATGCGGCTGCTGCTGTCCGAGTCCTCGAACTTGCTCGCCTTCTTGGCGGACCCCGCGCGCCCGAGCATCGAAACCAACCGGAGTTTCTCTCTGTCGAAACAAGCTGGCTAGAACGATGGTTCCTGGAAACAGAATGCAACTTCAAACTCGGAATTATAATCGGTCAAGGACCGGGCGTTGGGGGCGTACGTTTTGGTTGGATTGCAAGTCTCATTTGGGTAGTAATTGATGTAGGTAACGTGGACATTCTCCGGATTATCGCTGTGATTGAGAACTTGGAACTGCATGCTTAATCTTGTTTCAGCGTCAAGGTTCTTGACTTGTACTAGCACAGACTACAGAGTGACCAACACAAGTGGGTGCCTTCCTTTTTCCTCTTTCTTCTCATAACAATCCAGTTAGATTGTCATCATCAACAGCAAGAAGTTGATCTGCCTCCATCGATTTCTTGGATCCTTCCTCCGTACTTGCATTCAACTTTGCCAGTTTCAGAAAAGATATCCATCACACTCTGCTCGTCACCATGATGCTAATGTTTTTGATTGTCTTCTCTGCAGAAAAATATTAAAAAAATACGAGATATAATTTAGGAACCTAGTTCTTTATCTTTATCTTTTTTCTTTTCCTTTTTCTTTTTTGCGGTTGAACCTAGTTCTTTATCTTGACTGGCCGAATGATGGAAGTGGTGACCTGCGTCGGCACGTACGAAGGTGCACTCACTGCACGGGGGCGTGAGTAGCTTCTAAGTTTGCACTTGGCGTCTTGCTTCAGGGCGCAGCTATATGGAAACCTCTCGTTGTGCATATAGCGGCGGGTACGCGTGCGGGAAATGAAGATTAGGAATCACGTCGTTTTTTCTTTACTGTGTCTCAGCCTTGGATGCTGAGGCGGCGGCCCCAAAGGATGGTCTACATAGTTGGCCCTCTAGCGGATGCCATAGCGGTGATGGTGGCTATGCCTTTTGATCGTGTGGGTGGCAAGGGGCGTATCGGAGGTGGCTTGGGCTCGTTCTCTATCATCACAGTGACGATGCCCAGATGCCTGTGGGCCGGTCGCGCCTGTCGGTGCCTCATGGTGGCACGGGTGAGCCGACGAGTGAAAGTTCCACGCTTTGGCGCTAATAGAAGCGATGCCTGTGGGTGTTGTTATCCTCTTGAGGACGTTGTTGTGGTTCTCATCTTCATGGCAAGGGCCCGGATGAAGAACCTAGTCTGTCTCGGGCTCGGCGGCGGCGATGCTTCTCGCTATTTTTCTCTTGAGGGCGTTGTCGTGGAGTTTAGGTGTCACAGGGCATGTTGTAAGATTGTATTCAGCTCATCTTGTATTTTCATTTGGCAATGTAGGCATGTGCACTTGTATTGTCTGGTTATCCCGGATCATATCTTCTGAGGATTCATAGACCTAGAAGCACGATGGTGCCATCAATTAATTTGATTGCCTCCTTTTAAACACTATGAATATGAGTTTTAGCAATCAGTTCAGTGTAACCCTGGATGCATACTCATATTTTGTCGCTCCCCAAGGGATCTGCAGGGTCAAAGTGGTGCTAAGATCCTACAAACCCCCGTGGACTTGTATTGCCTCCACCTATTTCTATCGCTTTCTTTTTCGATTTAATCCTTTGATTTTTTTTCTCTGTTCAAGTTGCAGTTCCATGGATCCGGAAGTATGTCTATTGAAGGAATTACATTGTCTGTAGGTTTAAATCCACTAACCGATGCATAACGTGGGATTGAAGTTGAATTGGAATGACTACAAAAGATCCAAAAAGATACAAGGTATATAAAACTATTTTTTTTGTCATTTCCTAATAATTACATGTGATTTCACTTTCATCTCTTCAAGTGATAAATTCCATCACCCTTGATAGTCCAGGATTAAAAATGAATTGGAATGTTAGAGCAAGGTGATGAATCTGCGTATGCTTGTTAGTGTTAATGTCCCTCGTTATAATTACTATGTTGTAATTTTGATTTTCTGATGTCTAAAAAAATATTTTTATTATTTTCCCCATCTTGTCATGAAATACATTCCTTCCATACTCTGCTGCAACCAACGTCTAGCATTCCATACTAAAATAATTATCCAGTTGTAGTCTTAACTATCAATTTAACTATTACAGACCAATATATAGGTTTGTCTATGCTAATTCATGTCTCTTGTCTCCATAAATTTTCAAAAATTACTACTAGTTTATCAGAAAAATATATGGGCACCATAACTTATGTCATCATCAACGATTTAGTTATACTTAGCAACCACCATGCTAAATATTTGAATTGGAATTGCGTGGTAAATTAAATTGTTCACACAAGACCTTATGATTGGCAAATATCTTTTTGGCGCATGTTTCAAATCATTTACTACACTTAGCAAAATTAACCACATAGATACCATGCCGAATATTTAGGTTTGTCGTTACACGTTATACAACTTTATCATCTATTATTACAAACACATTTGCATTGAGTTTAGACTATGTTTTGTTAAAACATTGGAACTATAAATACATGTTTGTTTATCCAAAGTGTGTTGTGAATTGGAAAGGACAAAATAGCATGACTCACATGAATGCCACTAAGATGGACAATACATGTGTTTGAGTGTTTTTTCATCTATTTATATCCTTAGATATATGTGTTTGCAGAGAGCTCTAAAACATATGGTTAATAGTTATCTTGATAGAGTTTTCTACAGTTAATGTTGGTCTATCTTAGGTATAAGCAAAAAAAGATCTATAATAGTTACAAGAAATGCCCGCGAAGAGTTTCTTGTTCTTCCGTTGTCGTCGACTAGACTTTAATGCTTCTATTCATTTAACACTAAATTGAAAAAAACACATGTGCTTTGTATTTGTACTTAAATCTTGTCCCTAGCTTGCAAGAGGCATGTAAATTTGTGTATTTTTTCCTTTATTGCATCTACAGTTTGCATAAATATTTCAAATTCATCTTGAAAATGGCACTTACTTTCACCTCCTATGATGTTCAAAACCAACATAACCAAGCATGTGGATTTACATACTAGTTTGGAAAACATATATCTTGTCGTGGGTGTTGATTACAAAGAGTTCCATACAACCTCGACCTAGTACAACACAATCAAATACTTTTCACATCCATGGATGGGATTGCCTCTATCGAAGAGGGGCTTTATCAGGCGTTCTCATTAACCACTGGTGATCTCTATGGTTGGGACTAATGAAGGAGTCTTCGCCACTCCTCCATCTCACCGTGGTCCTTGTAAGACGACAAAGGGATGACACGGGCGACTCAGGAGGGAAGCCAAGAGCCTGTCCCGGAGCACTCATCCCACCAAGTGATGATTGGCGATGGCGGCTAATTTGTGTGCCGCTACATGAGCGGGTTTTGACAACCTCCCTTTTCATCAGAATTACCTCGCTGCTCCTTTCCTTTCCTCAAAATACCAATGTTGACAAGGTATTGGCCAACCAAATATAAAGATTTCAAAAAAATAAATTGAGGAAGAAATATTTTAAATTTTACTATAAAGCGAAATCTTCACTCCCAAAGCCAAGTTTCACTTGCCATTTCAACTACAAATTTCAAAAACTTACTTTTCCCCAAGGAGCTGAAGCTCTCTATTAATCAAACAACAGCATTACAATAAAACACCTAACATAAGAAGGAAATAAAATCTAGTCGTTGGGGAATCCTTCACCCTCTTCATCCATACATGCCTATGGCGCACCGATGTTGCCAGCGAAAAAAAAGTGTAGTATCCACACAAGCAGCCGGAAGTCACCGATCTCCATTGGGAAGTGCAAGCGATGTCAACTCCAGAGAGTCCACGTCCTGAAGAAGAAGACCACATTGGGTTGATTAAAAGTTGGCGTCCTCCCTAGTAAAAAAGAAAACCAAATCGGTGGGCCCTCTTTCTAAATATATTTGATTCGGAACTCTTATATGTCCAGGGTGAATACGGAAATTCTTTCATAGGTTTTCCTGTTGTTTCTGAAGCAATACGGAACTAAGAATGACCCAAGCAACCCCGTAGTTCCACATAGAGAAAGGCAAACCCATCCACCCGATCTTGTCACTAGATTTGATGGCGCATGCACGGCCAAAGCTGGAGGGGACTTCAGTAAACATCGCCGTCAAAAGGGCCAAACTCGTGAACAATGAATACCTACATGTCCATCCAATTTTGGCGTTGTATCGATGGTGCACGGACCGCCAGGTATGGAGAATAAGTTGGAGGAACCATTGTTTAACCCCGCTGTCACCATCGTTAGAAGGGCCGAAGTGATGAACAAGTCGATGCATACCTGATTCTCCAAGACGGAGGAAACTACGGCTTCCTGCCAATAGATCGGGGCCTCCCTGCACACCACCACCGACAGAGGATGAGGAGGCCGATGACCTACCAGTGGAGGGAGTACCCTAGATTGCCAAATTAGAAAAACTTTCAACCAAATATGAATCAGTATCAATTAGACTCATCAACAATGGAAAGTAAAACCTTATACATCACGTAACCTAGCTTCAGAAGTAGAAAATATGATCTCTTAGTTTCCAAATAGAAAAACAAATGTTAGTTACCCCTATCGCCTACTCACATGTTGATGGTGTTGGGAGGCTCAACCGATGGAGGTGGCCTCTGGGGGGTCAAGTTAGGCGATGTCAGGAGGAGTGGATAACATAATCGCCTTGTGCCAAACATGTCACAAGTATATGAATGCCTAGTAGCTTGTAGAGGCATGACACTCAGAGCATCTCCAATCAAAGTGGGTTATTTTCACCCTTATATGTCCTAGAACGTGTTGATGGACAAGAGAGTTGGTCGACTCATTTGTTCGCCCGGGCACCCACGTGCTCCAGATTCAAACCCTCGATTTCATCAGGAACCATGGAACTAAGATCTCATACATAGTTCATAAACATGGTAGATAAAAATGAAGTGCAACTGCAAACTAAAAGAAGATTGCAAATTAAAACAAACTACAAACGATCGTACTCCTTGTGGAAGGAGATCTTGAGGGGGCGTTGACCTCATGGTCAATGTGTTGGGGAACGTAGTAAGTTCAAAAAAATTCCAACGCACACGC